CCTCAACCCAAAAGTGAGGTTTTAATGGAGGATTCAAAGAAGTGCCATGCAGCCGCGTATCAAGGAACTTTGAAGTAGTTTTGCAAATCGTAAAACGTGACAAAGATGCCAATTGTAAATGAAGGTCAGACGACGCTAAGGCCAGAGAGTAACCCCACCAGCACACTCAGGAGGGGGGCATGAATCACAATTGTAGCGTGCTGCCCTAAGTTAGTGACGCCATGCAGCTTTGGAGGCGACTTCAACAAGTATGCGTCCAAGTTATTCTAAGTCTGTAAAGACTAATACTAGCACTAGTCCTCTTACACCTGGGAGGCATAAACCAACTCAAGTGCAGACATGTCAGCCATAAGGTCTATTTGATGGTCGACAACAAGCTGTTGCTGCTACACAAAAGCCAACACTTTGGCCGGCATCAATACATAAATCTGATAAGGTATCCACCTCATCTATTTCTACTGCTTTTGAGACTAACGAGCATGTTCATTCTGCCTTATTTAAGAAGTGTTTACGGTGACCATGCTTTCTTAATGGTCGAAGCCCTTCTAAGTTCAATTATGAACAATGGCTGAAGGTGAAATATCCTTTTAAAGTCGTTAGTCTGAAAAGGGGAGTCATTTCTAGTCTCGAGGGGCAACCTGGTTAGATTGAACAACAAAGGTTGCAAGACCTTATTGTTAATGAAGTTCACAAAGCTACAACTAAAGAGGCAGTAAGGTTTGTGCCGTTGCAGCCTGATGCCAATTCAAGCATCCAATCAATGCTGCCACAGCAAAAGCATGTCTACAAGCCTAGTCCACCTCAGCAACTTGCAGACTCATTGCACAAGGCCACTCAGGTGGCATGCAGGCCACCATGTTGTCCAACATGCCATAGGCCATATTAAAAAAATAATGATTCTTTCCAAAGTGGCTTTCACCAAAAATTCCCAAATTTTCCTTGCAGCCACAAGGATAAAATGGGAGGCGGCATGAGAAACACCATGCCTTCGCATTTGCCAAGTCAAAGAAGGAGGAAGAAATCTAATGACCTCTATTGGACACCAAAGAAGGCACTTCAACACGAAATCCATGTCTCTGAGTGGGGGCATGGGGGGCATGATATCGTAGACAAGCATGGAGGCATGTGCAGATGCTGCCTCTATAAACAAAGTCAATTTTGACATGGTCACCATATAAACTTGGTGGCCCACCCAGAGTTCCTACCCAAAATCCTAGAACTCTTTGGAGGTGACTTCAAAAGAAACGGGCTAAAAAGCGTCAGAGGCATGCTGTTGCCAAGATGCATGCTTCCCAAAGGCAACAACCTCCAGGGAGGCAAAAGTTTATTTGGGTGGAGAAGAAGAAACACAGTGTAGCTTCTCAAGAGGCAAATTAGAATTTAGTGAATGTAGCCGTGTCTCCAAAAATGTCTACCAAGTGTGTTCTTTTCAAGTCAAATGACTCAAAGGTAGCTAAGGAGCTTAATGTTAGTAGCAAAACAATTAGCCTTGGTGAGTTTATTATTGAACTTCCAATTTCCATTCCAAATCTCCCTTTTGTTTTTACAAGGACGCAAGATGTAGCCTCTAGTAGCAAAGAGGCAACAAAGAACAAAGCAAACATGTCCGCCAAAGAAAACAGAAGGAGGGATCATAAAAAAGATGCTGCAACCTTTGTTCCAAGAGGAGGCATGCTGCCGTTAGTTAAAAGCATGTCACCTAGGAGACATTCTGCCAATAATATGAAATCTTTGTAAATGCATAAGGCATTAGATGAAGGCACATACTGGCTATGGAGCGTTGATGGTAATCTGTACCTCACAAAAATAAATGGCTTACCTTTTCAACCATGTTGCCCTTGGGTCTGTAAGTCATGTAATAGATCGAAGTGGAAGTAATCTCTTTTCCTAAGTCAGGTTTGGGTGGAGATCAGTTTTAATTTAATTTTTATTTTTATTTTTCTACCATTAGTGTGAATAATCTTGCAGTTGAGCGGCTTTAAGGAAGGCTATGAGATAGCATTGCTTTTAAGACATGCTTTCTATGGAGGCATGCTTGATCTATGTCTCCATGTCAGCAAACAAAGGAATTCATGGAATTATTCTTTTTGGAGGTTATTTTTACCTTTTTTGTAGATACACTTTTAGCTGGCTTATTTATCTATGAAGTCACTGTGTCTGTTAGATGATATCCCATGCTATGCTGAAGAAAACAACAATATCAAATTTCTACGTTCTTGGAGACATCATGCTTCCTTTATAATGGCCACATGGTGAGGAGTGCTAAGAACAAAATTTTCAAAAACTTGATTCCACTTCCATGAAGTTGTGCAACTAAGTTTTGGGGGGCATTGTTTACACCCATTTTTGCAAAAAAAAAAAAAGAAAAAAAGAATGGTGTCATGTGTCATCCATGTTAACAAGAATTTCATTGGTTGAAAGTTGTTGGAGTAAATCTCTCTAGATAAGGTTGAGTGGTTATTTCCACAACTGCAGCAAAGTTGTTGGCTTGTTGCGAACTTTCAAGAGAATAATTGACAACATCAACAGAATAATCGGTTTGTTTTAGATTTCATGCTGTTGTTGGTTGTTTAAGATTGCTGTTGCAGATCTCTAAGCATGCTGCCAGGGGTGTTTCTACTATAAATATGCAGAGAAGAAATGAAGTAGAAGACTAGCCTCTCACACAACTAGCCCAGCGCTCTCTACATTTTAGTTTTACAAGCAATGTCTTAGTTTAGATCCAGTTTTCTCAAATAGCTTTCCTAATTTAATCTTTAGCTCTATGGTGTCATTAGTTTTAACCCTGATTTTTGTTATTTCATTGTGAACATCTCCACTCGATATATTTAGTTTTCTGCAATTCAATTTATTGCACTTTGCCCCAAATTCATCTTTCTAGCTTCTTTTAAGTTTTGTTTTATACTTCATCTTTTATTTCATTCTTTACGCTTTCATGCTTTCGCGGAGGCATCACGCTTCCTCTCTGCAATTTAGTGTTCCTACCATGCACTCTCTTTCTTCTCTTTTTCTTTATTTTTTTCTTTTATTTTGATTAGCAAACTAATATTTTGGCCCTAGTTGTGGGAAGTCCCTGATGGTCTTCCAAGACAATTATTTATGGACCTTTATGTGGGAATGCACCCCCATATCTACGACAATCATTTGACTAGGGCACATCTCATAATTTATTTAACTGGTGCTCTTTCATCGACCCACAACCGAGTTCCACGTTTGGAAGTAGTGAGGGTCACCGGAAATCCCTCTTTCTCACTTTGAGCAAAGTGAGTGGTACGTCTTCGCAGTCTTATCTGCCACGCGACTAAAAAGGGAGATTTTGGAGATAACAAGTGCTATTAAATGTTACTTTAAAATAGACTTGTATCAAATAATATTTGATATTAAAAAAAGGCAAAATAAAAAAAAAATTAATTTGAAATGCATAAGAGATCAACACAAACAATTAGACATTGATTGTTAGATCATATTTGATGCCTCAATATGTCAATTGTACCTAGTTATATTTTTCTATAAAAAATTTGTTTTATTTTCTGGCTTGATAATATTACAATAATATGTAAAATTCATATAAAAAAAGCAGTGGAGTAATATATATATATATACATAAATGTATATCACTCTCGACTTTTAAAAGAAATTGGAATATATATATATAAATATATAAAAGTGCATATTAGTCCTAATTCATAAAATAAATTAGAGATATAATCTTAAATTATGTCATTTTATTTAATTACAACTTAATTGAAAATTTAAAAATCCATTCGATTAAATATTGATATTTGGATTTGGAAACTAATTATATTAGAATATATAATTGGTTTTCAAATTTAATTTTCAACATTTAATAAGATAACTTTTTTTGAATTTTAAATTAAAATTTTAACTTCTAAATGTAAGTTAGAACACTAATTTTTTTTTTTTTTAAGAATTGATATTGACATGCACTTTTTTTTGTTGATATTAATATCTCGATATTTGGTAACCACATTGGATACTGACTAATTCAGAATTGAGGTATGTCAAACCTCATTACTGGGAAAGCTCTTCTAATACCTGTTTTTTCATTCACAAAACTCGAATTTGAAATCTTATTTAAGTGGAATTAAGTTTCTTTTACTCGAACCAACAAGTTATTGGTTGATATTGAAATGCACTAATTTCACATATATGCGTGTATATATATACATATATGAAAAACTAACATATTTAGATCAAAAACCTATTTTATAATCCGATTGGTTGACCAAATTTATACACAAAAATTAGCACTATCACCTAGCTGCAAATCAATTTTCTAAATACCTGATATATTTTATGTATAAATTTGATTGAGTATAACTACAATAAGGTGGTTTAATGGTTAAAAGTTTTAGACTTTAAATTAGAGATTTTAAATTGAGTTTTGATTCAAGTGATCAAGAATATGAAAAAAAAATCTGTTTTATATATCTTATAATACATCTTAAAAGAGAGAGAAATTAATTAAGCATTTATAAATTTGATCCCTCGTATTAAATTTGGGGAACCAACATTTAACCTCTTACCTTACAAAATTGATAGGTTTTAACCCCTTACCTTATAATATGACACTTTTAGCCATTTACCTTACAAAGTTGATAGATTTTAACTCCTCACCTTACAAAATTGCTAGGTTTTAGCCCATTTTCTTATATTATAACAATTTTAACTCCTTATCTAGA